TGGAAAGCGAGCCCTTGGGTAAGAGGGAGGCTGTGCTGACTACGTGGCGGGGAGAGCCCTCTCAGGACCCGCAGGCATCCGGAACCTTGTCTCCCCCTCACTCCCATCACCATCAGAGGCTGGACTTGAAGCCAGGGTGTTCTCATCAGGGTTCAGGAGCAGAAGAAAAAGCACCTTGGTGGGCAGCTGGGACGTCCGAAGAAGGCTGTGGCTGTGAGGAGGGGTCGGGGCCGGGAGGGGCTGTCTGGGAGGCCAGGCTGAGGCAGCTTTGGGGCAAACATGAAATTACTCCCAAACCAGGGGCCTGCTGACAGCCCCATAGACAGCACCTGTCACTGCGGTGTTTGCGGTCCTCAAGTCTGCCCTGCTGCTGGAGCCCAAGACCTTGGATGTGGTGGCCCGCTCCTCCTATCTTGAACCTGCATCCCCAGCCTGACTAGTGGCTCTCCCATTCCTGGAAGTCGGGCTGGGCCAGCATCTGTCCGCTGTGGCTGTCTGCTGGGTCTGATATCAAGCCCCACAGCTGGGGGTGTCCACATCAGATCTAGTGTGTCCTGACGTCGGCGGCTAGAAGCCCAGCACGGGGCACCAGCAGGGCTGGGGACTGAGGCTCTGCCCCATCTCCAATCCCCTCGTGTGTCCACGCTTCCTCTTCTTAGAAAGACACTGGTCAGACTGGACGATACCCCCTCTCTGCACCAAGTGGCCTCATTTGATCTTAGTTGCCTCTCGACAGCCCCCGTCTCCAAACAGTGAGCTTCCTGAGGCTTCCATGTGGAGTCTGGCGTGTAGGGGCACATCCCAGCCATGCCAGCCCCTTGCAGGACAGCCCAGCGGATGAACGCACCCACACTTGTCTTGCTGGACTCGTCTCTTCCGAGGCATCTCTGCCAGGCTCCAGCGGGCCCCCTGTTTGTCACCATGGTGGTGATCTTCTGTCTGCCTGCCTGCGTGCGGTCTGCCTCCCCCCTTGCGGTCACGGAGGACCAGCTGGTCTTACCTACTGCTGTGTCCTCAGTCCCTGCACGGTAGGTGCTCAGAACCTGGTCATTCAGACAAAGTCAGAGTCTCGCTGGGATGTCACCATGGTTAAGGCACTCCCAGGCGTGACCGTCACAGCAGCGATATCCAACATCGGCACCGTCCTTGACAGTTTACGAGGTGCTTCCTGCAAACCAGCCCTGCAAGCTTTCCGCTTGGATGCCGGCACTGTTTTCTCTATTTTTGATAAAGAAACCCAGACTGATTGGCTGCGGCAGTTGCTTCTGGTCTCGGGGCAGGAACTTCAAGACCGACCTTCCTGTCTCACAGAGCAAGTCTGTGTCCCTCCAGGACCACACAGAGTGACGAGACCCGAAATACATCCCAACTTCGAGGCAACCTCCAAGGAGAGCACCAAGGGTGGGCCTCGTGGTTCCGGGAACTCAACCAGACATCTTCCCCACTCATGGGGAGCTCCTGTGCCAGGGAACAGCGGCCTTGGCCACACGTGGCCAGCCGTGGAGGCCCTCCACTGTGGGTTGGTGAGTGGGCACAGCTGGCAGACAGGCTTTTGCGACTGGCTCTGTGTCCAGCAGTGGGAAGGGCAGAGCGGGTTGGAGCCACCGTCTTCCTGTGTTCATGGCTGGTTTTTCGCGGCAGTGTCCTTGACCCTGCAGGTCTCAGCTTTGTTGGCCTCCGGGCTCTCCCGGGGAAGCTTTCATGTTTCCAGCGCAAAACCCGCCTCAGAAAACGAAGTCAGACTCCCCGCGGGCAGGGTGATGGCGGCGGGGACAGCAGGAGCCTCCCAGGTCACTTCCATAGGCGGCTACGATTGAGAGCCAGGGGTTCAGCCTCCAGCGGGCGAGGGCGGCACAGACTCTGTCCCTCAGGGGACGTGTCGGGCTCACCCCTCACTGTGCACACCCCTCTGAGGGTCTAGCGTTCCAGAAGGGTCTAGAGTCGTCCGCACCAGGACCCACACAATCAAAATCCCAGAGGGGGGCCCAGCGTCAAAATCCTCAGGGAAGGCCGGTGTGCAGCCACGGCCAACCTGCCGCCGTCGGTAGTGCCCGCTTCATCTGGAAGAGTGAGAAGCAGCAGGGCCGTCTGTGGACCCGCTGGGCCGTGACCCACCGAGCCGTGACCCGCCACCACCCGAGGCAGCCTGTGCTTCAGCCGAGCCTCGATCTGTGGCCTTAAGACGACCAGCAGCGGGGCCTCCTCCCTGTGCTACTTAGGCCAAAATAACAGTCACGTGTGCGCAAACTGCACGGGTCTCGATCCAAGACCGCTCCTGTTGTGCTCTGCCCAGGGTCACCCCCGCTTCAGACTTCACAGCCACGAACGCTCCGGTTTATTTCCCACAAGGAGGAGAGTTGTTCTATCTAGTCGTCCTGCCACTGTTTTTTCAAAAAGTAAGTACTGGGTCATACAGAAATGCCTTCTGTGGTGACTGATGGTCGGATAACAACAGGCGGACTCGGCACAGGCGCTCTCAGGTGTGATGATCACCAGCCCCTTCTAACTTAATTACCGCTCCTTACCGTCATCGCCATCATCACACTTTGGGCAGGCGGCGGAATGAACAGGGCAAGAGAGGCAGAGGACGGTCGAGCTCAGTAAACAGCTGGAAACATGGCGAGCAGAGGAGGGCCCTGACTTCCACCAAAGCCCACCTCACCCCAAACAGAACAGAGCACGCCAGCATGTGCGTTGGCCTGAGGCTCTGAACCCTGGTTTTCAGCCATTGAGGAGTTGTTAGAGGCCAGGCACCGTGGCTCACGCCAGTAATCCCAGCACTCTGGGAGGACAAGGCGGGAGGGTTGCTTGAGCCCAGGGCTCGAGACCAGCCTGAGCAACATAGTGAGACCTCCTCTCTCCAGGGGCTCTGTGCCCCTAACTCGCACCTGGCCCTCAGGTCACGGAATGACGCGACGACTCCCCCTCCTGGGACGAGGACAAGAGCTGCTGCGCGTGATGCATCTACCGTGCACCGTGGCTGTGGCAGCAGGTCACACAGCGGCCTTCCCACCACTCAGAGGGAGCGGGTGGGGGGGGTGGGTGTGTGCGTTCTGTGAATCAGAGGGAGCTGCGTCTCAGGACTTAGGACCCAGGGTGGGGACAGAGGACGTCACGAGCGCCACATGTCTGAGCAGAGTGGAGAGGATGTCGCATGTGGAGACGAGGGAGACAGCCAGGGACACCTCGTGGAAGGTTCTGGGAGGAAGGTGGTGGCAGATGGAAGGCAGGTCTGAGTGCAGCATGCTTGTGAAATGGAGGGAAGGCAAATGCAGAGAAGAAAGAGACACGAGGCTGTTGCTGGCAAGATGAAAGCGGGTTTTAAAAGGCGGGGTCGTGGTCAAATTCCAGTGTGACCAATGGTCGTCTTTCCCACATGTAACGGAACCTACAGCCGGCCATGAACATGCTCTCAGGGACTGTGTCATGAGTGGCTGAACACCTGCACCCTACCGTGTGATGGATATTTTGTACTTTCTTTGGGGGGGGATATTTTGTATTTTTCATTCGGGAGCATTCCTTGGTTCTTTGTATCTTCTGAATTAAATGTGTTCTCAAAGTAGCAAGTTTTCCACCAAGAAGAAGGGAAAAAACACCTCGAGGGTCTCCCCAGTGTGACAAGATGGCGGGACGGTACTAGGGCAAGCTGGCATTGTGCCTGGGAGGCCGGAGCAGGCCCGGGGAGGTCTCAGAGCCAGCGTGCTGGGAGACGGTGGCCGCACAGATGGAGGATGCAGTGGCGTCCATGGATTGCCTGGGATGCCAGCTCCCTGCACCTCAGCTGTGCAGGTCTCTCGCTGCTGGCCCGGGCCTCACAGGGCCTGGCCCTTGGCACGAGTGTGGACCCCGTGGGTGCCCACAGAGGATCAATAAAAGTTTTACATTCCTAGGAGGGTGGTGGAAGGACTGAATTCCTGGGGAGCAGTGAGGAGCCCTCAGCACTTGCCACAAAGCGACACAAGAGAATCCATAGTGACCAGAAGACCACATGGTCCCTCCAGCCCGGCACGGCCCTTGCAGCTCTTCAGATGGAAAGCTGTTTTGAGTGACCTCCCAGGACAGTGGCATAGAGAAAAGGAGAGACAGCAGAGAAGCTTGTCTGGAAAGGTATTAAAATCTCCCCCCCATCCCCATATTTTCAGATGATGCCAGGAAAAGCCACCAGCCCTGACCCTTCCGACCCTTTTCAGGAGAGTCTGTGGCTGTGTCAAATGATCACACCTGCTCAGATATGCAGTGACCAGCAATGGTTTAGAGAAGAACGCTGGGCTGGGCCCAGGGCTCATGCCTGTCACCCTAGCACTCTGGGAGGTGGAGGTGAGAGGAATGCCTGAGCCCAGGGGTTCGAGACCAGCCTGGGCAACTTGGCGAGATCTCGTCTCTATAATAATCCCAAAATTAGCCGGGTGTAGTGGTGCGCCTGTGGTTCCAGCTACTTGGAAAGCTGAGGCAGAAGGGTCACCTGAGCCCAGCAGGTCGAGGCTGCGGTGGCTGTGAGCGTGCCCCCCTGCACTCCAGCCTGGGCAGCAGAGTGAGACTCCAACTCAAAAAAAATAAGGAAAGCGCTGAAACACAGAAGGCAGCACAGCTAGTCAGGAGACCACGTGGCAGGAGACCACATGGCATGCTAAAGACAGCAGACTGCGCAGGCCGCTTCTGAGGGAGTTTGCATCCCATGGAGAGTGCCTTGAAGGGGACTGATGTTTAGACACGTGAGGATAAATACACAGTTTCTAACAAACAAATCCCCGGGTTTGGGGCTCCCCCTTGCCTTCTGGCCATGGAGAGGACGTGGTGCTGCTCACTACTCAGAAACCAGCCCTGGGCACCCTGACTGCCCCTTCTCCACCAGGGATGTCGCCAGGCCTCAAAGACAGGCCCTCGGGAGTGTGTACAAACGAGAAGCAGAGGTCCCAGAGGTCTCGGGAGGCAGCCGCAGAGACGAGGCTGGAACACGTCTGCGGCCCGGGGCGGGGTATGGAGGGCGTGGGGCGACTCACCCTGTCGTTGCTGCCCTTGTTGTCCTCGTACTTGGTTTCTATGTGGATGGAGAACTTCGGCAGGAAAGAGCACTGTGAAGAGAGCAAACTCTCGTGAGTGGACGCTCCTCTCCCTGGGCTCACAGCCCCGGTGCCCGCCCGGCTGCTGGGGGAGCACGCCTGGACGGGAGGCCGCCTGCGCGTCGGGCCGGGGAGGACCAGCCACGTCCCCTGGGAGGATGCCCCAGGAGCGTGTCCAGTCAGTCTCCCAGGCTGCAGGAAAGCAAGCCCCTCCACAGGAGCTCCCTGGGACCCGGTCCTGGCCTTCACGTGGGCATGGAGCTCTGGCGGAGGGCAGAGCCATGAGAGCTCAGGCTCCGGCAGTCGGCAGACCTGCTTTTAACACGTAGTTCACCCAAGTCACCGTGATGTCCTCCCAATCAGCAGTGTTAAAACAACAGGATCATCATTATCGCATAGAGTGACGCTGGCAGGTTAGACAACACGGTGTGCATAGAATATTCCTCGGGCTGTGAGGCACGCTCTGCAAGAAAGCCTCGCAGGACTGACCAGGGAAGGCGGCGTCTGCCCACGCGAGGGAGAAGCCTCTGGCCGCGTGTGTGCCTCAGCAGATCTGAAGGGTGGAGGCAGTTGAAGGAGTGGATTTGCCGGGTGTGGGTGTGGGTGTGACCACCGTGGGTTGGCCCTGAGCTGGGCAGGAGCTTCCTGGGCATCAGATGTGGACTCTAGGCCGTTGGGTAGAACAGCCCAGCAACTCCGCTGGGAGCCTCAGGTGTGGAAGGGAGACTCTGCTCTGATCACGGGAGGCAGGCCCTGGTCACGTGTGCAGCACTTGCGCCTTCCATGCCAGGCTGCAGGGCTCTAAAGCTCCGACTCCTGGCAACAACCCCGTGGGCAGGTACTGTTATGGTCATCCTGACTCTCAAGACAAGGACACCAGGTAAAAGAGATTGAAGTCAGCAGCCCACAGTCACACGGACAGGTGGCCTGGCCCCAATATCCGCACGCTTGACGCCTGCTCTGTGGTTCCCAAAGCGGGGTCCCCAAGCCTGCTGTGGCAGCATTGCCCTGACTCACAAGCCCCGCCCAGACCAGGAGCAGCAAACCCTGGAGGGCCTGCCAGCTGCCTCCACGTCCTCGGTGTGCGGAGGCCAGCTCAGAACAACCGCCTCACTGGACTACCACAGAAGGAAACAGAGCACCACGTCTGGAGACCCGCCCTCACTCATGCGCTCACCGGCACCACAGCCACCTCCCCTCGGGCCGGCCGAGACCCCAGAGGCACCCACAGGGAAAGCAGAGGCCACAGCCATGCCGGCGACACACTTGACCCTGCAGCTGTGCGCTCAGCACCCATCAGCCTCATCCAGTGAAAACGAGCCACTGGAACCGGCCAGGAAGCCTGGAAGCCATTTTTCCAGTTATCACCTTGATGGAGAATGAGGCTCCTCCCCCGTCCGTGAACACCCCCGTGGTCTCTTCTCAGAACCCCCCTTCCACAGCCACTGCCCCAAGTCAGGTCCAGGGAGCATCAAGGAGGACCGGGCCACCAGGGAAGGTCAGGGAGGGGGTCAGAGAGCGCCACGGAGGTCCAGGGAGCACCAGGGAGTGTCAGCGAGCACCAAGGAGGAGCGAGGGAGTACCAGGGAGGGGCCAGAAAGTACCAGGAAGGCCCAGGGAGCATCACGGGGGTTGCTCATCCTCACTGAAGACCCTGGAGCCTGACAGCCAGGCTTCGATGGACAAAGGATGTGGCAGATGCCCTTGCTGAGACCCCCCCGAGGTGCAGCAGCCTCCAGGTGCCTGGGTTCTGTATTTTACCCACAAGTCACTCACGTGAATCCTGTGAGTGAGAAGTGGCACCATGCAGGTATTGGCTCGTGTGCCAGAACCCTCTGTGAGGGCTGAGCCTCTGGACCTGGATCCAGCCCACGGGTGGGCTCCAGCGTCGGGCATCGTGCCCAGGGATGGAACGCGGAGCTTGTGTAGATTGGCTGATGCTGCTATTTTTGAGTCAAGCAGGTTATCCTGTCGACTCAGTACCTCCTGCCATGGGCAGCTGGGGGCTGGCAAGCCCCCACCCCCAGATGCAGAACGCTGGTTCTCAGACCCTGGGCAGTGTCTCTGGTGATGTGGAAGCGTCTGTGGCTCGGGCTTCTCGGGGCTGTTGCTAGACCCTGGGTGAGACGTCTGGACCGAGAACTCCAGCCCACCTCCTGGCGGAGCCTCAGTTCAGCTGATTTCTGGGCCTAGGTCCGTGCCCTGTGGGTTCGCCCACTGGGGGGTCCTAGTCCCCCAGCCCGTCCTCCCTCCAACCAATCGCGTTGACTCAGTCTAACAAGGATGCAGACTGTGGGGCGGAAACGCTCACACCGTCCCTCTCCTCCTCTGCAAATCTGCCTATTTCCTTATGCCTCTCACTCTTTGTGGATCAGAGAGAAGAACTGCCTTCTTTTTTCCAGTGGAAAAATCGTCAAATGAAAAGAACGAGACCATGGAGTCAGCCGCCTTGGACTCAAGTCTGAGATGGACCGACTTGCCAGCCTCAGTGTCCCCACTGAGAGAATGGGCCACGCTCCTCTGCTCTGGAGGCGCATTCAGGAGATGGGTGGAACCACAAGAGCACCCAGCCTGGCCCGGCACCAGCAGGCGTGCGCCCAGGAGCCTGCCCGGAGCCTCTTCTTGGGGATCACCTGCAAGCTCGGCCCTGCTTCCTGCCACTGCCTAGAAACAGGACGCCAGCATCACCCTCCCGGAAGCCAGCGGCGCCAAGCTCCCCGGCCGATGCGCCCTCCTCTGTCTTCGAGTCCTCTCCCCTCACAGGCCAACCTGCGGGGGTCAGTGCCTGTCTCCCCTCCCGCCTCCTCCGTGATGACTGACTAACAGACTGTCGCCCACGCCACGCATTTCTGCGGCACCCCGGAAGCCTCTCCGCCCACCCCTCTGCAGCCGCCCCTCCCCGACCCGAGCAGCAGCCGTCTCCCCCTCCTGCACCCCTTGTGGGGGTGTCCTCGGGCGCTTCCTGACTCGAGCCTTCTCGTGGTGACCTCACCCGCTCCGACTTTTCCGGGACCATTTATTGGGGGTTGCCTCCCACATCAACACCTCTGATTTCTGAGTCCCTGCTCCCGCCTCCCGCTGCCTGCTGGCCACCCCGAAAGGGCCTCCAGGTACCCCGAGCCGCGAGGCGCAAACGCTCTGCAGTGTTGGCGTGCTGGGGTCATCGTGCCAGAGTCCACAGACGTGGCTTATCCACTCCCAGTGCTGAGGCCAGAGCCTGAGGTCAAGGGCGGGCAGGGCCCACGCCCTTTGAGGCCGGGGAGGCTCTCCCGCCCCTCCCAGCTCTTCGGCTTGGCCGGCGGCCGCACCACACCAACCCTGCTCTGTGTCTAACCACTTCTCCCTGAGGGTCTCTGCCTCTCTCCTCCGGACCTAGGTCCATGCCCCCTTCCCGCAAGCATGTCCAGCTCTCTCAGCCTGGAACTCCTTCCTAGATCGTGCTCACCTAGCCTCTCCCACACATCCTGTGAGTGACCACCCCATGGGCAGGACATGTCGCTGTCCCTCACCATGCTGCGCCTCCTGGTCCAGCGACACTGTAACCCGACACGCCTGGCCCGCTGACCAGGTGAGAACTGGGCTGGCCTATTCACACACCTGCAGGAGGCGCCTGCAACTCCAGCGTCCAACTCCAGGACACGGTGGGTCAAGGCCACCCTGCTCTCAGGTGTCACCCCAGGACACGGTAGGTCAAGGTCACCCCACCCCTCAGGCCTGTCACCACAGCACGGGGTGGGTCAAGGTCACCCCACCCCTCAGGCATCACCCCAGGACATGGCGGGTCAAGGTCACCCATCCCTCTGGTTTAAGTTGCTTTGGTCACGCCTTTTGTGTCCAAGAATTCTGCTTCCACCAGGAATGTCCCCCAACCCATCATCCCAAGTGGCCCGGGCAGAGGGTGCCCCTCACCTTCCAACACCAGGCCTCCTTAGACTCATGACCTTGGGCAAAAGGACTCTGTGTCACTGAGGGGCCCGTCGGAAGCCTAGGAGTTGAAGGAAGGTTGGGAACCCTCTTGTCACCACACCAGAGCCTGCTCCAAGAAAAAGGACACTGGGAGCCCTGGCTAACCTGGAAGATGCCTGTGACCTTGGGGACACCTGGGTCCTCCAAGCAACCCCAAATGCCCAGAGTCCAGCAGGGCCCCCGGCTCACGAAACAGAGATGGGAATGCCACGGGGGACAGAGTTGCGCTTTGGTACTGCAGCCCTGGCTCCGGCACACGTCGGTGAGACCCTGCTTTAGCGTGAGCTGGACATGTGCCTGCGGGTAGCCCTGTGGTGGGCCTCTCTCCTCTGGCTGCTCTCAGGAAGTCCGCTCTGACCCCAAGACAGTCTTGAGACGCAAGACTTCCCTTTAAGAAAAGCAGTGCTGCCTCGATGGCCTTTGCGGGAGCTGAGGGCCCTGGGAAGCCCGGGAGAAAGCAGGACCCCACCCCACAGCCAGGACCAGGTACACGGGAGGAGGGCCTGAGCCCCGCCCACACCTCGATGTCCCCCTGGCAAGTCCGTGGCCGAGGACCCACCAGCCTGGGCCCCAACTCCTGGACCCTAGAAACTGCAAGATAACAAATGCATGTTGGTCACATTGCCACATCTGTGGGGAACCTGTCATCAGCAACAGGCGCCAACACAGTCCCCGTCGCTGCCGCTTCCCTCCCAAGCCACCTCCCACTCTCACCCGGGTCACGTGCTACGCACTCTGAGGGTGCTTCCTGCCCCGCAGTGCCCCCCAGGGCATCGCCTGTGCTGGAGGTCATGGTGCTGCTGACTGGCCAGGGTGACGTCGCTAGCAGATGTGCCAGTCGGTGTGTCACGACTCAGCGTCCAAGCAGGGGCCTGGCTGGGGAGTAGGCCTGACACATTAGGTCATGCCGGGCCTCCTTCTCACCCTCTGGGAAGCCCGTGGCTGAGGATCTGCCAGCCTGGGCTCTGGGCACCTTCCCTGAACCCTCTAGGATTCTGTGTCCTCACCTCCAGGATGGAGCACAGCCGTGGGGTGAAGGTTACGTG